ATTGGATACAGTTATGGCAGATTTGTGGCTTGTGGTGGGAAGATCTCAAAAAAAATTATTAAACAAGCAGCATTTAGTGGACACACCCGGAATTGAACCGGGGACCGCCCGCAGGCTAAGCACCTGAGAGGTTTGATGCTAAGCGGGCGTGATAACCAACTACACCATGTGCCCATATGAGTGTGTGACGAGACTGGGATACAGTGCGGCCCTTGCGAGGACTGGCCGGGATCTGTCCAGTGAGGGAGGACCCATTGCTCGAGGTCGAGGGCGCGTCTCGATTGACGTGAACCAGAGCCCCCGGGGCTTACATTCACTCCGAAACAATAATACAATGGAGAGGATTTGTCGGGTTAAAATTTCCGCCAACGAAGGCTCGATGTCAAGGTCGCGTCTCGATCTCGGGCCTACGTTCACTTTCTCTAACAACGTTCACTGCGCGGAGTCATAGCATATCTTGTCATATCCTAGGTACACATAGCAAGGAAAAGAAATATATTGCATCGACGGGGTGAAGTGTGTATGGAAGGTAAGATAGACGAAGGGAAAGAGACAGCTTAAGCGGCCTTGTGGGCAGCCTTGATAGCTGCGACCTTTGCCTTCTTCTCTGCGACGCGCTTTGCGAGGAGAGCGTCGAACTCTGCTTTTTGCTCCTTCTGGTGCTCGAAACGGCGGCGCTTGAGGGAGTTGAGGTGGCGGCGGCGCTGGAGACGGAGGGGTGTGACCAAACGCTGGATCTTGGGACTTGTGACACGGGGTAAGACGCAGGTGAAAACAAAGGAACAAGAGGCACTCACGCCTTGGTGTACGGCTTGGCATCCTCCTTCTTCGAGCTCTTGACCTCCCTGCGGACGACGTACTTCCTGACGTCGTCTTCCTTGCTTAGATTGAAGAAGCGCCTGATCTTGGTGGCACGCTTGGGGCCGAGGCGCTTGGGGAGGACGTTGTCGGTGAGGCCGGGGACGTCGCTGTCGCCCTGCTTGACGATGACGAGGGAGAGGACGGCGATGTCGGGGCCGACGATGCAGCCGCGGACGGACTTGCGCTTGCGCTCGCCGGCGCGGCGGGTGCGGTAGCAGGAGTGGCCGTCAGCGAGGAGGAGGCGCACGCGGTAGGGGAGGAGGACGCCCTGCTTCATGGGGAAGCCCTGCTTGTCGTTGCCGCCGGTGATGCGGAAGATGTAGCCCTTCCATTCGTCGCCGAGGGAGTCGCCGGGGACTTCTTGTGCGATTTTTTTGTCGTAGAAGATGCGGCTGTGGGGCTGTTGGATGGGAACTTGAGAACAGACAGAAACGTACTAGCGGCGCTCTTCGTCGATATCGATGAGCTTTTGGGCGCCCGTCGCGGGGTCTGCAGGCGTCAGTGAGCAGCGGCGGCTGGCACAGACCAAGGACACTCACTGGCAATGTTGAACTTCATGCTGGGCGGACAACGGGCGGCGACCTCTTGCGATGGGTTTTTCGCGGACACACTCACGTGAGCATCAATGGCCGTTTGTAGACTGTACAGCTGCCATCACAAGCCTCCCGGGAGTTGCCGGTCACATAACACCCGCCCACCGACGTTTGCCTTGTCGCTCGTTCCTCAAGACACTCTCACCAACCATGGGTCGTATGCATGCACCAGGCAAGGGCATTTGTGAGTCCCACGTGTCATCTGTCTCTCGCGCGCGCTGATCCCCCGCAGCGTCCTCTGCCCTCCCCTACCGCCGCGCTCCCCCTGCATGGCTCAAGACGACCCCCGAGGACGTCGTAGACCACATCACCAAGCTCGCCCGCAAGGGCCTCACCCCTTCCCAAATCGGTGTCACCCTCCGTGACTCCCACGGCATCCCCCAGGTCCGCTTCGTCACCGGTAACAAGATCCTCCGTATCCTCAAGTCCAACGGTAATCGTCCCCTCTCCCCCCTCCGCCCCCGCTAACTCTCCTCTTCCCCCTCCTTCCCTCGCTCTCGCTTCTGCACATTTTCTGTGTACCTTTTTGTTTGGGGATAGGACTTGCGCCATCCATCCCTGAGGACCTCTGGCACCTCATCAAAAAGGCGGTCGCTGTCCGCAAGCACCTCGAGACAAACAGGAAAGACAAGGACTCCAAGTTCCGTCTTATCCTTATCGAGTCCAGGATCCACCGTCTCGCTCGTTATTACAAGACCAAGCAGCAGATTCCCCCCACTTTCAAGTACGACTCTGCTACCGCTTCCACTCTTGTTGCATAGGTGTAGCTAGTCCCAGTCAATACATGCTGTGATGCATCCTGAAATGAGAGTCATCAGTCGCGTTGAGAGCTAGCTAGCAAACTCTGCACAAGGAACGAGAAAAGGTTCTCAATATTTCCGACTCACCAGCTGAAAACCGCACCAAGCCTCCGATGAACCGGTTCCATCGCGTAAAAAGTTGGCGGAAGCAGTTAAATGAAAAAAAATCACACGTTACTTGTTATGGACACACCCGGAATTGAACCGGGGACCGCCCGCAGGACAAGGCTCCTGTAGTCCTCTGGATCATGCTAAGCGGGCGTGATAACCAACTACACCATGTGCCCATGTACAATGCCTTCCAATTCGCGCTCAGTTCCGCTTACAGAAACAACAACAAGAAGCCGTTGATCAACCAGTACCTCCTTCCTTCCATTGTTGGAACGCTGGAATTCAAGAGAGCAGGTGCTTAGAAAAATGAAAAATGGCCTTCTACGAGAGGGGGAGTGGACACACCCGGAACCTTGCTGCTGCTCGCGTTGTAACACAAGCAAAGGCTGCTGTCCACGCTGCGAAGCCAGCGATGGCAATTGTAACTTGGAAGACGAAGGTTCATTACTCATGGAAGACGACAGTCTGACGAAGGAAAGATGTCGTTCGAAAAACTATTGAGACACGAATGAAACTATCTGAACAAGAAATGAGGGATGAGCACGCCACTCCCGTACCACGGACAAACTGGGCGTACAGTAAAAAATCGGACTAAGGTGATGGCAACTGCCTAGAACAGGAAAACAGAGTCCGATTTTTCTGAGGTGATTGATGAGAGTCACTCATCGAATACGCGCATCGACAGTCTTACCGTGCAGAGTAGGATACAAATTAAAAGATAAAAATGAAATAGAAGTGGTGAGGCTACTCTGCACGCTAACTGTCAAATACAACGTGGTGATAGAGCGGCTCAGCGCTCACCTGTGCTGTGACGACGAAATGTGATGATGCGCAAGCGTAAGTGCGACATCGGAAAACGTGAGACCTACCGGCCCTACTGTTCTCGACACAGCATCTGCCAAACACTGGCGCCATGCCGAAAACGGCGTGAGGTCATACGTGGGGATGCACAGGGGGTGATGAGGTGTGCGCCTGTTGCGCAGAGGCCTCCGAAAAAGCTCCTTTCCCTTGGAATCCGCTTTTACGCCGACCTCTGCTGCTGAAGGCGGAAAGCTTCGCGACAGGATGGCGTGGTTCGAATGGATGGGATAGGAAGACTTCGTGGAACTGCAAGGTAGCGCAATCCGGCTCGCTAAGCTAGCGAGCCGCATATACTATTAATCGAGGCTTGAAACGCGATGGCTATAAAGGGCTGTAATGGTGGAGGAGGGGATGGAGGTGGTGTAAGAGATGAAGCGTGAAGCCGAGGAATGTAAGTTTTTGATGGGTGTGAATTAATCACAGGTCGATGAGATTATGAAATAGATAGAGGCCATTTCTTCAATCTGGCTAGTTGTAGGGCTGCACGAACTGTCGGATTGTCTCGAATATAAGTCTTCCAAGCATTAGAAGACCATCTTCCAATAGCCATAATGATACTCTCAGACAATCCAAGACTCGCATAGAAAGTCGCCCCTCCTGCTCTGGCGGAATGTCCGCCGAATGTTCGATCCACGAAAGAGAAGAGTTTTGCATCAAACCAAGCTCTGGTAGGCAGGGAACCGTCATGAGTAATGAATAAAGCTCGTCGTAAACCATGGCGACAATCACGAAGACGAACATATTTTTGGAGGAGATCAACCGGATCAGCGACCTCCTGATGAGTAAAAAGGATGTCAGTGCCACAATAGAAAGGATCGGATTTGTGGTATGGCAAATGATATTCGGCGTATCCAGGAGTAAATCTCAAGGAGCATCGTTTGATAACCTTTCTCCAGTCTGTGGACGATTTTGATTTTTGCACGAGCTCGCCTGATCTGTGACAAGCATAGAATGCACAAGACATGATGGTGGCAAACAGGAGATCATCATAATCTCCTGTTTGACGAGCTTTCGAAGCAAAGTCTGATAAGTGTGATGGGCAAAGGGGTAGTTTACGACGAATCGGATCCGCTCTGATCTTCTTTGCGCCACGGACAGCTGCCTTGACAAGAGGGTGTGAGCGGTTTTTGTCGAAATCAGGAAATATGTCCTGTAAAAAATGACGAAGACTTGTTAAATATTTGGAGCCAGAGCCAATAAATCTCGCCGTGTATGCTATGTATTGAGATAACGTTTCAGGAGTCGGATCAAGAGGTAAATGATGTGCTGAACAAAAATGAATATAATCGCGTGCGCCTGTTGCATAATTTTTCGCTGTTGATTTTTCAATTGATTGGGACTGAACGTGAATAGTCCATTCATTGAGCGCTTGACTGCGCATAGGTGGGCGGATCGATGAAGAAGATCCGCCCAAGGCCTTCAAAAACAACCCTTCCATCGCGCCGGCAAGAGCTCTCGAGGAGGCTCAAATAAGCGGACGCGGTCTGAGGGAAATTTCCTGTGATATTCCTCGAAGAGGAGACGTGACAACAAGTCAGCTCGGATATTATTTCTGCCTGCGATGTGACAAACTCGAAGATCAATACCCGATTGCAGGATAATACCTGCTACAGCGCGTAATGCTGAATTGTGAACTGATTCCGCTGCGCCCAGAGAGTTGAAAACAGCAACTGAGTCGAGACTATCTGTAAACACGAGCAGACGACGAGGCAGATGTGGGAAGGATGCAGCATGGTGGATTGCTGACAAGATGGCAACTAGTTCTAAAAAGAATATGTCAACTTTGGTGGAGGTATCAGATGGACTCATTTGATAAGCAAATCCGTTTCCTGCATAAACAAATGCCATGCCTAGCTTTAAACTAGCATCCGTCCACATCACCATGTCTGCTGCATCATTATTCCAATGAGTGGAATCCAAAAATCGGACTCCAATGGATTTTGGGATAATTTCGGTGAGCCATTCCATGTCAGTAACAACCTCTCGATTCAAATGAATCCCTGCATGAGAAGTAGTTTTCCCGGACATCTTCCTGTACATTTCCGTAAGTGCTGGTCGGCCCCATGGTAGAACATTGAGAAGCCAGTTGATATGCCCCGCTAGACGTTGCCATGTTTGCAAAGTCGGACGGCATGAAGGCGTGTCCAAAAATGAGCGAATTCTTGTGATAATGTCTTTAACTGAATCGTCAGTCAAGGTGATTGTTCCTCTGTTCACATCAACCCAGAAACCGATGATCTTTAAAAGTTCACCGTATTCTTGTTTCTTGTCCTCCCATGGACAGCCGATTTCGTCCCACAAGATAAGGAGCTGTACCTGGCGCTTTGGTCGGAGACGTCCTTTATAAGAGATCAAGTTGGAGGCGTAGTCCCACGAGAAAAAATCATCCATAAAGACATGGAGATCTTTGATATCCAGCTTCTTTGCACCTATCCAGCACATGAGGGCTGAGACTGCACACCAACACCGAGGCGAGGCTCGATTTCCAAAGACCAACCTGTGTACTACGTACCAGACGCCATTGATATTTATAAACTGGCGCAACTGCCAGACTGGATGTGCTGGAAGATTGAGGAAAGCACTCGCAACATCAGACTTCCATGAGACAAGAGTTTCATTCAGAAAGGACTGCTTTGCGTTATGAAGTGCTTGACCAAAAGTTCTCATATCGTCGTATCTCACTCGAGCATCTTCTCTCGGAATTCCATTATTCAGCCCTGAGGCCGAGTGGTTGGTGACTACTCGAGCCTTCTCCTTTTGCCAGACAACAAAAAGAGGAGAAGATTTCATACCAGGCATGAGATTAGAAATATTATTGACTTTGGTCCATCGACCAGCATGAAGTTCTTTGTCGCGGAACGCGTTGATGGCCTCTAAATCTGCATCATCCGAGGAATAATTGGGAAGTATGTCATTTTAAAAGCCTTCACGCAGGCCTTTCATTACCGATTGGACAAATGGTTGATTTGGATGATCCGACAGCAAGCCTTCGAATTTGTCAACATTGAAAGGAGTTTCGACACGGATAGAGTTGTTAATGGATTTGAGAGCAGAAATGACACGTGAGTCATTAAGTAGATGTTCAGGCGGTGAGGGAAGAGGTTGCGCAGTTTCAGTATCAAGAGCTGCCGGAGAAAAAGTTGAGGAATGAATGTCATTGTCCCAAACAAAGCCTCTACGGAAACGAAGTTCATTAACGCTAGAAGATCCAGACCTTTTCAACCCTCGAGGACGTATAGAACGGGGGCCTTGTTCCAGTGCATTTTGTGATTTACGCATCGAGGCCAGTTGTTGATCGATACTGTTGCCTTCTGAGCTTGAGCTTTGAATGACACTCTTCAACATCGCGTGCTCGGTGGTTGCCTCGACATTCGCTGCAGACATTATGCCTGCGATTGCCGGGGCACAAATCCGCATTGCAGAAACCCAGATTCCAGTTGTGGCAGATTGCAGCAATTCTCTTGCGAGGCTGAGAAGATGCGCTTGGGCCTCGCTTAGAACCCGCTTGTGGATGAGACGAAACAGTGAGAACTTGTGCCAAGAAAGGATTCTGCAATTCATTAGGGTCGTCCATTCTAAAAGGATTACGAGAATAACGGTCTCGAGCATCACAATCAAACTGAATCGCAATAGCTGCGCCATTTGGAATATTGCAACAGAAGTCCACAATCTTGGCACGATATAGAGACAATTCATGTTCACGGTGCGGATAAAAAACACAGACTGCCTCAGCCCAAGCATCAAACACTCGCATCCAATCAGATTCGGATCGGACAGGTCGTTTTGCCGTCGCGACATCTTTCTTGACCAACGAGAAACCAGCAGCAAAATCTTTCGGATCATCGTGTTGGTCATAACCCTTAGCCAGTGTCGCATAAAGCTTATCGAAATCAACGTAATGGTCCAAAATGATAAGTTTCCACATTGCGCGTGAAATCGGTTCCAAGAGTCGCTGAGTTTGCCCGAGCCTGATGAGGGGATCGAGAGCCAATTCCTTTGCATACTCTTGCCGTAAACGCCAAGTTTCAGCAACATGCGGATCTGCTGAAACCTTGCTCTGAAGTTGAGCAAGATGAGGTACGGCTGCAAGAACCGACTGCGGGATATCCGAAACGCAGGAAGATGTTCCCGATGGACCCAAGATCTCCGCAATCTGATTCGTCGCAACTGCTGCAGGGGAGTTGGACGGATCTTCAAGATGTCTGCACTTGGCTCGAAGAGAAGACCATGCGGCTGATTCCACTGCTTGTCGTTGCTCATGGCGCCCCCTTTCAACATCCGAGAGGGTCGCGTTTTGATCGTCCCTGGGAATTGTTGATCCCTCCCTGTTAGGAGACAATTCTCGCGATTTTGTCTCCTTGCGCTTGCCTTTTGCTCGTCGTCGCAATTCAATTCGCTGTATAACTTCATCGACATGATCCTTTGCCTCAGCAGAGTTAAGGCCGAGACGCCGAAGAGCTTGAAAGAAGCTGTCGAAGGATCGAGTGCCTTCAATAGTCTCGTCAATGATTCGTTGACATTCGTCAGCTTGATTTTGAAAAGGAGTGGAGTGTCCATCCTCATCGTCTTGTGAGGGAGAAGGGGACGAAAGACGGTTAGCGAGCGGCCTATGCTCGACACCCGAAGGTGCGTTGAGTCGTTCGATGATCGGTGCAAATGCACCTTGCTGCTGCTCGCGTTGTAACACAAGCGAAGGCTGCTGTCCACGCTGCGAAGCCAGCGATGGCAATTGTAACTTGGAAGACGAAGGTTCATTACTCATGGAAGACGACAGTCTGACGAAGGAAAGATGTCGTTCGAAAAACTATTGAGACACGAATGAAACTATCTGAACAAGAAATGAGGGATGAGCACGCCACTCCCGTACCACGGACAAACTGGGCGTACAGTAAAAAATCGGACTAAGGTGATGGCAACTGCCTAGAACAGGAAAACAGAGTCCGATTTTTCTGAGGTGATTGATGAGAGTCACTCATCGAATACGCGCATCGACAGTCTTACCGTGCAGAGTAGGATACAAATTAAAAGATAAAAATGAAATAGAAGTGGTGAGGCTACTCTGCACGCTAACTGTCAAATACAACGTGGTGATAGAGCGGCTCAGCGCTCACCTGTGCTGTGACGACGAAATGTGATGATGCGCAAGCGTAAGTGCGACATCGGAAAACGTGAGACCTACCGGCCCTACTGTTCTCGACACAGCATCTGCCAAACACTGGCGCCATGCCGAAAACGGCGTGAGGTCATACGTGGGGATGCACAGGGGGTGATGAGGTGTGCGCCTGTTGCGCAGAGGCCTCCGAAAAAGCTCCTTTCCCTTGGAATCCGCTTTTACGCCGAAAAGGAAAATTCTTATACATAGAAAGGTGCATGGACACACCCGGAATTGAACCGGGGACCGCCCGCAGGGCGAAAACGCAATGCAACCATGCTAAGCGGGCGTGATAACCAACTACACCATGTGCCCATAGATATTAGCTTGCAATTAGAGTTCAACATCGCTAACAGAAGAACAACAACAACCACGTTTCCATCCAATGCATCTCATGCCTCTGTGTTTCCTCGAAGAAAAGTAAAAGCAAATACCATGGGATTCAGGCTATGATCCTCTTTTTTTTTTTGAAACGCCCATACTCGGAACGTGGTTCGTGAGTTGTTCTGAGGGTTAGCCTGCCGCAAAGGCCGGTCGTCCCACTATGCGGACCTGTTTCCAGTGCCGAAAGCGCAAGAAAGGCGCCTCGCACTAGGTCGTACCTTGGGATGTCGCCGAACAGGATGTGACTACTCGTTCTTGTTTAATCTCTCGCAAACGACATTCCATTTCCTCTCGATGTGGTAGGTGACCAAGGCTCCTCACCAATCCCATTCTCCAAACTTCACGTCTGACCTTATAGCGTCGTTATTTCTTATTTCTTGGTATATTTCTTTCGTTGAATGGGGGAGGGGTTATGTATCATGAACAGGGAGCGCGCTCGCTAATTTGAGCTCACAGAAAATCTCGGGATGCTCCAGATGGTAGAAGGTACGAACAGAATGGTAATAGGTAGTTGTAGTTTTGCGTGGGGATGGTGTATGAATGGACGCCCTCCTGGTCCGCTCTCCAACGTAACCATTCGAGGGTTTTGGATTACAGTCTTGTTTTCTGTGAAAAAGAAGAGACCACGAAGATTGTGGAACCATTGTCAATGAATTACATATTCCACATGAGGTAGCATTGAACTGATCCAGGACACCATCAGATACTTGCTCGCAGGCAGATTGTATTTCACGAAGATAGACCGGCTTCTAACCAAACGAGCCTTTTTGTAGCCCGATGATCAGAGGGAATTCGTCTACCCTTGTCGAATGCTTGCACGTCAAACGAGGAAGAAATATGAAACCACCACTCAAGGTTCTTCCAAGTCAAAATTTGTTATGCGTACAGAATTACACTGTTCTTAGGAATGTTCAGCTTTCAGCCCTTCAACATGCCATCCCAAGAGTTTGGCAGCTAATCAAGAAAGATATCAACCATGTTCAATGGCAACAAAGGATTGTACTCACGTCCCAACAGGACGAGCGATAGCGCAGCAGTGCAAACCAAATCGACCTGTGAGTGACATCAGAACTACTGGGTCTTGTTGACTTCAGCCTACTCACAATCCTGTGATCAACGACATTTCTTGATGAATTCGGAGTCTTTGCAATTCACGGGGTAGACTTACCGCATCCACTTCGCCTGAAAGGAAGAAAGGGGGGGTTAGCTTTATAGCCAGCAAAGTTCGAAGACCTACAAGGATCATTCAAACCCCTGAAAAGTCCTGGGTTTGGCCTTCCATCTACAATCTGTAATCCAACGAGGACCAGAAGAACGTATTTGAGTGCTTTGGAAATCATATTTTTTTTCTGGGTATGTTCACCAAGAAGTGGTTGTCAAATGTTTGTGACGTCTCATCGACCCATCTCACTGGCTTTTATACAAACAGGAGCTTACCTTTCGGTCCGTGCTCTAACGTAACATTTGAGGATTTCGGATTACGGTCTCGTTTGCTGTGAGAAGGAAGAGACCGCCCAGACTGTGAAACAAGTATAAATGAATTGCCAATTACATATGGGGTAGCCTTGGCGTCGCAGGAGTGCAAGTTGATTCCTCGATTACAGTCATCTATGGAAGGAAGCGATGACTCGGGAACGAGTATCGTTATATCAGAGAGACCTATGCCGAAAGATAGTAAGTTCAAGACATGATTAAAAGGCAGTTATCTTGGTCTTCAATTCAAGGAAGTCAGCTGCCTGGTTCATTATCAGAGGCTCGGCACACGAAAATTGGGCTTTGCAAGGGAACCCAAGTGTAATCTGACCATGGCTCCGAAAGCTTGGCCGTTATGAGAGTCCACTACGTACCACAACCTGACAGATCAGCTGGCCTGTATCGCGCGCAAATCCAGTGTTCACTGCATTTCATCCCCGGAACGGCTAATTGAACCGGGTTTCGTCGAAGGACTCGACTAAATCATATCGTAAAGGTAGTCGCAACGCAATTTTCCCAGAGTGGCAAAGAAGCTTCTGGCACCTCGGACCGGACGATTGATCATTATTGATGTTTACCCCATTAAAGCAGCCACTGTGTCCTTCTTCACGCATGTATCCTTACTTGCTTCAACAATCCGGATATGCCGGATAGTTGGAACTCTTGCAATCGTAAATTGAACTTCAAACATCGATGTTACA